AGGGCCTTCCCCTCCTGCGCTGTCCCTCCACCCTCCCAAGCATGATGTCCCTCTCCAAGGACCGGTCTCTCCTCACAACATGTCCAAAGTATGTTAGACAAAACATAGTCTACAGAAATGATTGTATAAAACACAGCATGAATGAAGGAATGTGTGAAACACAATATACATGAATTAAATACTATCTTAAATGAAATACAAATCTTTGTATTTGCACAAATCTATTTGTATGCAAACCAACAGAAAATTTTTAAAGAGAGAAAATTATCAGATAAGAAAATTTCATTTACTCACAGTTCTGCCACAATTTCAATTAACATTTTGATGAAAGAATACTCTTGCTACTTTTCTATATTTCTATATTATTTTACAAAATGGTTACCACATTCTACCCACTGTAGTGAAGTCTGATTTTTTTACTTTTTTACCAAGAATTTATCAGACCTTATACGACAAAAGAGTTCGTAATTTTACAGTAACCTAGCAAAAGATGTATCATTTATTTCTTTAACATACCCACTTTTATTAATTATTTTGACCATTTCCAGTGTTTTGCATTATAAATACTGCTTTGGGGAAAATCTTTTTACATAATGCTTTACATGTTTATTGGATTCTTTTCTAAGGATACATATTCATGAATATAAATATATAAAGTAAGATTGCTTGGTTAAAACTTAGATAAATATTTGTTTTCTTACATATACCTTTTAATTTTATGTGGGTTTACATACAAAATTCATATACATTATGTTTCACACATTCCTTCATTCACATTGCATTTCATATGATCATTCCCATACATTACATTTTATAAAATCAATCACCATTGAGCATACCCACTATCACCTTGTCTGTTCAGGTCTTCACTGTATCTTTCCTAATTCCTTTACTTCCTCTTTCTGCCTACCAAACACTGTGACCCCACGACTTCCTCCTCTTCTTAAAAAGCTGAACATAGAAATTTCATATGCCCCAGCTATTCCACCAGCAGGAATATATCCTGAGGAAAACAGAACTGAGGCACAAGTAGAGATTTGTACACCTGTTATTTGTACACCTTGTTATTCACAATAACAAGAAAATGGAAACCACCCAAAAGTCTATCAGCTAATGAATGGGTGAAGAAATTGTGGTACATTCACACAATGGAATACTATGTAGCACTCAGGAGCAATGATATAATATTCATAAAATATTATATAACATGGGAGAATCTAGAGACCATTATGCTGAGTGAATTAACTGAGTCTCATGAGGACAGGCACTGTATAAGACCGTTATTATAAAAATAAAAGAATAACTAGTAAGATGTATATTGGGTCAATATCTAGAAGAAAGCTATATAATGAGCTATGCTGCCAACCAAAGCACATGGTTCAAATCCACCAGCTACTCCAAGGGAAAAAGATTGGCTACTTACTCCCTTGGGCAACCCACTGGACGGTCAGCTATGAGCCGGCTCATAACAACATATATTTAAAATGTTACCAACTTTCTGTAAGGGGACACTT